CAAGTGGCTCTGGAGTTTCCCATGCTAAGTTGGTTAAAATATAGCCATAAACAAGCAAAAATAATAACTTGAGAATTTTAGGTTTTCAGTTTCCTTTATTTCTCTGTGACCATTAGCCGCACAACAGCGCTTAAATATACTAAATTATTAGTTTTTCAGCTCTAAAAATATATTTTATAAAGAAATTGACAATTTTTGGTTTTGGAGGAAAGATCATATCATTCGGGATACCCTGAATTGGTTGGGGAAACAAATTTTCATCCCATAAAACCTTCGACAAACCACGTTCCTAAAGTCCGATTATATTGGTTCTCAAAATCGTTCGAATAACCGTAGGTTTACAACACATTTGAACCAAAATTTGATCAAAATTGGATTGTTTTTACTCGAGTTACAAGTAGTTCTAAGTTGGACTACACGGTACAACCGATTAGTTAGATCGATGGTACAATAAATAAATATATGAATAAATACAATTGCAAAAGCGTATTCCTTATATGGCAAATTCACTAAAATTAGTACAAATTAGTCAATACAAGTGAAGTACCTCGACGTCCTCGACTGCTGGTCGCGCCTGCAAGCGGGCAGCAGGCAATATGACTGCTGCCTCCATATTGCCTACCCAACCCCTGACTATGGATTAACCACAGCCACCTCTAACTAATTAATTTACATTTGTATATCTACTACAGTGTTTTCAATTATGATATGCCAATAATAAAAAACATTATTGCAGTTTTGCAGATTCGTAGTTTGTACTGTTAACCAGTATAGGATACAATAGTATGTAATCAAAATTACATGACACTTCCCACGGTCGCATTTGTAGTTTGCCCCAATTACGTGATCTACAAGAGTGGCAACAGCAATTGCCCGGCCGTTTTACCTTAAATCGACTCATGAATATGATAATACGCTGATAAAATGCAAACTGAACGCACGAGCAGTTGACGCAACGTCAGTAAGGACTAATAAGGAGCCCGAGCCTGCCCTAGAGGAGCCCCGCGAGCCCACGGAGCTAAGAATGCGTCCTCGCACAATAGTCATAACCATGCCACGACCGCGTTGATATCAGCTGATGATCGGCTCAGCTGACATCGTGCAACAATGGGCTAAACAGCTGTCCGATGTTCGCTCGTACGACGCGCAGCTACTGCAAGACCAACTGGTCGTGGGTCGAGTCCCAGGTAGGTGTATGTTTCTTTTTGTCAAAGACTTATTTGGAATCTTGTTTTCGAATTGTTTGGTGGATCGGCTATTTTCGGAAACTTTTTGGGCGCAGTCCGGTTAAAAGTCCCAATTTTATTTTCAAATTATTTATCATATCTTAACAACGATTGTTGTTTATAACGTCGCAGGTGACAGGGCGGCAAAGGGTGTTATTGTGTTGCTTGACCGGTATTAGCGTTCGAACAAACAAAATGTTAAGATCAAATTACCCGCAATTTGTCATTAACGACATTCCTATATTTTACAAACACTTTTTTATTAAATTACCAAAACCACTACAGATTATATTCGCAGGGATTAGAACTAGAATGTTATTGACATAATTAGAACCAACAATTGTGAAAAGTGATTCTGCTATAAAAGTTGTGGTATTTTACTAAAAATAATATTTTCAACAATTCAAAATAGGATTTAAATACTAATACACACTTAATAACAAAGGAATTTTTGTGAAGTTTTTGAACGAAGTTTGACTGATATTATGAACTCTTTTTAAAAATGTATGAACTTTTCCCACATCCGTGTTCTTACAATGGAATTTAATACAAATCTGTATTAAAATGATTTAATCATTTCTTCAATATCAATTTTATACGTCGATTCTTATGTATGTCGCTTATGTACTGTGGGACTGTATATCTTATGCATTTCTTCATACTCAAACTCCACTTATACAGTTGAAGCAATCGTTTATAAAATGTTGCATGGTGATACAGACCATATCAGTGAGTACCAACATCTATATGGCGTTAAAGTATTCTCTCAGGAACCCACGGGGTCCCAAAGTTTCAATGTAATCTTTGGATGCGGTATTTTATGGGTGTATTAATACCATCAATACTTGGTTTCAGCAAAGGTTTCAGTTTAAACAAGATTTATTATTTACTAGTGGTTTGTAGGAACATAAGTCCCTAAAAAGTTAAATTTAAAACAAATTATTCTAATATTTAAACATACTGAGTATCAAATTTTCACTTTGTCAGGATGTATATATCCCTGTACACCAAATCTTTTGTGTAAAAAAACAGTCTCTTTGTTTGCGTTTGTTTATGTTATTTTCAATAATTTATTTAAATCATTCCAGAGGTTTAACTCTGCTAAAGTCAGCAAATATATGAACAAATACTGGTTTACTAAGGTAGCTTTGGTCTTGTGGTCGATGATAATAAAAAAATACCCCCGCCGCAGCAAACCTGCCGTCTAAGCGAATTTCCATTTGGCTGAATTGATTTTCAATCGATCTATTTAGATAACATTAGGTTTAACGAGTACCTAGGTTTGCTGCTACAAGGAAACTAATAAAGTGTGTATTTTAAGTAAAATAATTATTGCTTAGTAGAAAATGAATATATTTGCCAAGTTTGATCAAAAGATATCTATAAACAAGCAAACTACAACATTTTACAATATTCTCCATAAGAATAACATGGGAATTTTAAATTTACATTTTTTTCGTTTTCTCCGTAACCAATAACCGTACAAAAACACTTTGATATACTGAATTGTTTGTTTTTTTAAGCTCTTTAAGAAGGTTTAGAGAAAAATTGGGAAATTTTGTGTTTTGAGGGTCAAAAGTGAGAAAAACCAATTTTTACCCCATAAAACCCCCCATAAAACCCTGTTCCCATGGTCCTATCATGCTGGATCGCGAACTCATTCAAGTTAATCCCGCCTTACACCTTCAAACCAAATTTCATCAAAATCGGATAAAAATTACTCAAGTTATCGTGTTCACGGACACATATATATATAAATCTATATATATATATATATATATATATATATATATATACATATATAAAAATTTTTACGATTGGTGTTTTTGGCCTCTGGGGACATCAAAATGAAAAAGTAAATCGGTCCCGGGCCTAAGTCTTACCATGAGACCTACGGTAATAGCTACTTCCCTGTAGGGAAATTCGCTAATACCCCCGCCGCAGCAAACCTGCCGACAAAGAGAATTTCCATCCGTCTCAATTGATTTTCAATTAAATCTTTTTAATTAGCATTAGGTATAATGAGTACCTAGGTTTGCTGCTACAAGGAAACTAATAAAATGCATTTTTTAGAAAAATATTAATAGCTTAATATAAAATAAATAAATTTTGCCAAGTTTGGTCAAAATATACCCATAAACAAGCAAACAACAACATTTTACAATATTCTCCATAAGAATAACATAAGAATTTTAAATTAAATTCTTTTTTAATTTTCTCCGTTTCCAATAACTGTACAAACACAATTTGATGTAATAAATTTTTTTTTAAGCTTTTTAAAAAGGTTTAGAGAGAAATTAGGAAATTTTTTGTTTTGATGGTCAAAAATGAGAAAAACGATTATTCACCCAAACCCCCCGTAAACCCCCGTTCCCACGGTCCGATCATGCTGGTTCGCCATAATCATTCATGCTTATACCACCTTACACCTTTAAACCAAATTTCATCAAAATCGGACAAAAATTACTCAAGTTATCGCGTTCACGGACGTATAATATATATACATATATGAAAATTTGAACGAATTGTGTTTTTTGCCTCTGGGGTCATCAAAATGAAAAAGTAAATCGGTCCCGGGCCTAAGTCTTACCGTGCCACCTACGGTAATAGCTACTTCCCTATAGGGAAATTTGATAAAAGGCTCCCCTGATTGGAATTTAAAAATCATATGAAAAGGCATACAAAGGTGAGTTGAGAAAAGTCATGGTATCCCATTGACCAAACTTACAGATCGTGATAGTCAAAATATCAATAGATGTGTGGTATTTTTAACTCTGGTAATATTTAACTCATAAACAAAGTTAGTCGTACAGATCCATTTGTTTACTGCTAATTAACTAGTTACCTAGAGTCTTGGGCTGAATAATTTATAGCCTGAGCGTAACTGAGTGTATAATTCATGTTCTGGTCTGACCCATATCAAAATAATAACCGTTGATAATTTGTAAAACCCTTGGATATTACTGAAATCCTTAATTTGCATCCTGGTCGGCACTGACATGCAATTAGTCTGGCACTTGTGAGCCTTATGCGGAGTGTAAATTGAATTACATTAGCTTAAATTATAACTATGCTTGTGCCACATAGTTTCTAAGTGTGAAGACATTCCCGATGCAGTATTTCAACTATTTTTCATCACAGTGAAATCTGTTATCAAACTATAATTTTATGAGTGCTGGCAGTTGATGTCCAGGGTTAGTATTTTGAAATCATATATCCTGTAGCTTAAACTTAAAGTAATAGAATTTCCTAAGCTATAATTTGTATGGGAAAAGTACTAATTTAGTTAGTTATTTTTAATTTCATATTTATTTAGACAAAGCATTTAGACAACGCTCTATTGGAAATCCGATAGACTATACACAATACACAGTAATTCAACCACAATGTCACAATCCTTTTTCGGTCGTAGCTTTGTGCTAGCTAAATAACCTTTTATACTTTACAGATAACTTACGCAATTTTTTATCGTGAAGACAAAAGTATGTACAATTATTAGGATGGAACTGCAATTAGGTTATTTACACTGGGGGTACGATCTTAGGAACAAAAATGCAACACATTATCACTGTTGTTCATAAGTAAATTTTCTCTTACAGTAATTTATATATTTTAAAGGATAATGTCGCCAAGACCTTTGGATTAGAGTCGGCTCAGTTTAATTTACTTCATGTGCAACTTGACGTCTTTAAGTTTGTGTGTAATTAATTAGATGATTTAGAGGCTGAGGGCACCCAAGTGATCAGTGATTATTGTAATGCTTGGGTGTTTCAGAGGGAGGACAGCGATGACCAGCGTGTGGCCAGTAGTCATCTGATACATCGAGAGAGGGAGAGCTACCACCAGCGTCTAGAGGAACCAGCCCCTGACTACTCGCCACCGTCCCCGCGAGGCCCTACACCCGACAACAAGAAGAAGATCTACCAAAGAACACGGTTCGCCGCAGACATTCCGCCCGTACGGACGAAAACCGCGCAAAGCACACAAACTCCTCACAAAACCTCCCTCGGCGAGTCCTTTAGAAAGTTCGTTGGAAAGTTTCGGTCGTCGAGTAAGGACAAACGGCGCAAGAAAGGGTCCCGCAGTCCTTCCCCCTCCTATCACAGTTACAACGTCGGAGGGGGAACGGACGATGAGGCCCCCATCGCTCCCCCCCGCTCACACCGCCACCGGGACTCCGGGAGTCAGACGATAGATAGAGCTATGAGGAGAGGAGGAGACCCCGTGCAAAAGTACTACCTCGGCGAAGACCCCTTCGGAGGATCCATCTACGGCAGGGAAAAGGAGTACGACGGTGTGACGCCCTTCAGGAGGAAACATCGGCGAGGCAGTGAGAACCTGGAGGACGAGAGGAACGCGAGGTAAGTGTTGTCTTGCTCTAGACTGTATATACTGTACTATGAGTCAGGTATGCAGATGACTTCACATCAAAAACTCAGCCTAAGATATTCGTTATACTCTCAAAACTGTTGCTTCTAACTACCGGTACTGTAGTATATTTTAAAACTAAATTGGGTAATGCCCTGAAATCATTTATGTGGACAGATCACACGTTAGTTGCATACACTCACGGATTTGTTAACTGTGGTGCCTAATTTGTGAAAGCGAAACTTAAAGAAGATTTAATAACATATCTCACTAAATCTCGTGTCATAATCATTATTAAGTTGTATTCGGCATATTTTACTATCTAATGGGGTATGGGATTGGTTGCAAGACAAACAGGTTTTATCCTACGTTGTTTATTTTTTCATTTAGACTACAGGTTTTTAAACTCTTCTGTAGTGGTTTTAATTGGTTTACCGCAGTCATCCACAAGATTTGTTTTACATGTGTAATGAAAGAGAGATTTCTTAGTTACTGTCCTAAAGCTACGTCGCGAATGCTCATCAAGTTTCAATATTCAGCAGCAAACTTTCTCGGTCCAAGTCAAACCTGATCGGCCTACATCCCGAGTTTGTCTACCTACGACACTTGAAAGACGCGTGCATCCTACAAGCCTGCCTCAATCAAAGTTTCACCGACCTACGCCCCGTTCCCCACTTCTCTGCTGGATTGCCGCAGTGGCGCCACTTGATTTATGCAGATTGTTATTAATATTTAAAGGGTGCGTGTTTCCAGTGTTTACATTGATTATACACGCCCCGGATAACGGAATGAGTCGTCTAGTATAAATGTTTCTATTGTAGTCGTGTAAAACTTGAAACCCAAGTTTTGGTTTAAAACTACGAAAGTAAAAGGAAATAAAACACTACATGGAGATAAAACTTCTGTAAGAATAATTTAGCTCCTTAATAGACAGATTAACAATGTTTCAAATTTATTCCTACGTGAGCTCAACATATTTGTCTATGAGACTTAAATCAAAGAATCAAGTAAATGGCTTCAACAAACTAGGTTCTTTTCAATCGGCGCGGAACTAATTCATCTGGTTAACGCAAGATGGCAGACAATGACGTAACTTTAATACTTTAAAGCATAACAGGAAACCAAAGAACAACAAAAGATAGGAAGGAAAAAAGGAAGTCCAATGTCGCTAGAATAGGTGGGATAAAGACACGACCTTGAGTGTGAGGACATGTCACAGCCACCTGCGTTATCCTGCACAGACACTGTGGTCCTGCCCATGTTGTTGTATATAATGCCCAGTCCCAGTTGTGGCGTAGATTATCCTATGCTAGGAGCTAGGAGTGCCGCGCCGGTTCTAAGGTCGGTCGAGCAAGGTTGCCTTGAAACATTGTTTACTAACACTGAGTTTTACGATCTTGGCTCTTTACCGTGTTATTGGTTTAAGGATAATCGCACTGGTGAGATCCGTGTGGTTAGTTGAGTTTAGCGTTCCATTATTATGAATAGGCCTACTGCTTGGAAGATCTTCAACCAAATCATCCATAGTAAAGGACTATAAAGCTAATGACCCTAATACAGTAACATCATCAATTTATCGATTTATTGGTAAGCCTGCATAAAGTGTGATTTATCTGACTTGTACTTATTTTGAAATTGCAAGTTTGTATTTCCGCAACACCGCTTTAACCAATAGTTTAAACTCATATGATGCTTACCGCGATCAGTGGGCCACACGGGTGGATGTCGGGGGAGGACAGAGGAGGGTAGAGAGGCTCAATTAGGCGATTGGTCGCTGCTGAGAGCTGAGTCACTTCTCCCACACGAACGGCGCAAAACTTACAATTCATATTGGGTAGGTCTGTCCTTGGCGCTCCCAAGATGGCGGTCGACACGGCAAGAGGAGGAAGTAAGACGGGATAAGATAATCGCAGGGAAAGCGGGGAAACAGAGCGACCAACTTTGAAGCCGTCTTTTTACCGAAACCAAATATTAGCAACCGTTGCAAGGCAGACATTTGTACACTTGTACCTGGGTGGATTCACACTACTGCCCAAGGTAGTGTTAGCAGTATCAGTGATTAATAATTAATATTTGGGCCCACCCAAATTTGTGATATTTGATATTACAGTGCTTAAAATTAATTATCAAGAAACCGTTAATGTGCTGCATCATGGTGCATTTTTTCGCGCAAAGCACGGTTATTTACACGTATATTAATTACTCTACAACCTTTGTTGTACCAATCCTATGAAACAGCTTTTTGATGGTTCGAAACTAGATCCAGTTGTCCTTGATCCTTGATTAGGCTGATAGTAAACGGTCCTAAAAGAAAATCTAAAAGAAGCAGATTTTAGTCAGTAACTAAGATACACAAGGCATCTCTTTTCTACTCTCGCCCTTCCATCATCTTTGTCTTAAAGTAGGTACCTACGTACTTATGTGTCTGCGAAATATACTTTGCTGTGCCTAAAAATAAAAGCTGTGATTCTAATCCAATTTTTCTTCAACGAAAACTTAACATTAAACAATAAAATAAACAAGTTAATGATGTAAAAATCTGATATACGTGGAAATTACTGTAGTCACTATCTGTTGCCATTCGTGTACAATGTTTGAAATGATCGTTTGAGAGGTTTCAAACTGATGTTTAAGCTTATTTGTAAAAACACATAAATACAGACAGACGGAAGCCCGGGCATTTATTGACTTGACTTGAGTAACAAGTACACACAGATTATCTAGGGACTTTGTATACACTATGTCTAACAGAAGCCCTCGTAATCTTCCCACGGTTCGCAGCATTCCATCCTTCTGTAGGGGTGAAAGTGCATCGCTTGTGTTGTGATAAACAGTCGTCCTTGCAGAGTGATATGATCAGCGAGGTCCTGATGGGGGGAAATCTCCGTGAAATGGTCTGCATTGAATTGTCTATGAATTACAAGTACAATCAATTTGCAAGTAAAGTAGAATACTTATTAGGCTCGTGGTTCTAGGACCCGACCTCACTGATAGCCTGATAGATGAGTTTTACTACTATATTACACCTGATTACTATAAGAGTTTATTAGAATTTGAAAAGTTAAGAAAGGTAAAAGACCATATACTATATGTTAAAAATATATATTTTTTAAAATTATTTGTACTCACAAACAAGAAGAGGGCCTATAAACTAGTAAACTTACTTTAAATATATCAATAAATAAAGTCGACTAAAGGTATTATTTGACAATTTGAATTCATTTGGTAGGGCTCATGGGCTGTCGTAGAAAAAATCATATTTCCAAATGTTCACACTGTTTTTCAAGATTTCAAAATTATTTCCAATACAGTAAAAAAATCAGGTTTTATGATTACATGAACTAACGAATTGTTATTAACATCTACAAAAACGCAATGTTTGAAATGGCAAGGTGTGGCAAACGGCAAACCCAACGATTAGACGATTGTCTTAGCTAACACGAAAGAGTCAGATAATTATTGACGTTATCGACGCCTATCTAAGACTACAAGATCGTGCCACTCATCCTACACTCATCCTTCACTCATATTTGGGTTAAAATACGCACATAGCGGCGTCCCCATCTTAAATAATTGATTGATTGATTGATCTCATTTACTTTGCTTATGATTTTTATTGGAACGCGTAGTTTGACAGTTTATGTATTTTAAAGTATTGAATTGTTGTTTAGTGACTACTTCAAAATTAATGTCTCGTCTAGCATCAAATATGAGATATTTAATTGAAAATTTAAAAGACATTAACAAATGGCGTTTTAAAGCCAGGGATACAACACAATTGATTCGATTGCGTGTAAATTTCCTTTGTATATGATTATGAGTCTGCTTACCTTGCATTTATCTTATCTTACTAATATTATAAATCTGAAAGTTTGTGAGTTTGTGTGTATGTTTGTGTGTATGTTTGTGTGTGTGTTTGTGTGTGTGTTTGTTGCTCAATCACGCATAAACTACTGGACGGATTGGGCTGAAATTTGGCATGATGATAGCTCACATTCCCGATTAACATTAAAGCATATTCTTATCTCAAAAACCCTTTCGGGCTCCACCCCAGTGGCTCTGTAGTTCCCCATGTTAATCTTATGATTTTTCATATTTAAAAGGAATTAATGAATCTTAACAGCTGTTTCAATTAAACAAGTTGGTTCTGTTCTATGATGTGCAATAGCATAAAAGTTACAAGGATTACCAACAGGGTGCAGCACTATTAATTTTTTTTTAATTTATGACAACAGCTAATTTCCAACCAAAAGGTGAGTGAGCGTAGCGAACGAACTTCAACCTGAAGGCGAGTTAGTGTAGCGAACGAGCTAACCTGAAGGCAAGTGAGCGCAGCGAACGAGCTCCAACCTAAAGGTGAGTGAGCGTAGCGAACGAACTTCAACCAGGACGTGAATGAGCCATGCGAATACTTATGAAGTTAAACGGGGCGAAGCCCGCGGGTACAGCTAGTCTTTTATAAATATACAAAAACACCAAGCTTTGGGCGCTGTGTAGGCCTATCCGCTAGTGTGTGGGCACCCCGCTTACATTCTGATTTCCTACTGACTCGTCGTTAACAGTTTAAATTATTTATTCCTTCATTATGGAAATATTGTCATAATACAGTATAACTACTGAGACTTGAACTTATTTGAGTAGGTACGAAAGCTGAGTTTGTTGACGCTAAATGAAGCATTACAGTATTCGTCTTAAGTAAGAAAATCAGCATCAAGCGTTGTCTTTAAATCGGCCCCTTCCATAGAAATGAACATCCATTAACATCCAATACAAATACTGAATATTGCACATTAAATTATATAATGGCTTCCAAAATGTTTTCGGAGGTTTGCCAAAGAACGCCGACTGCTTTTTGTACTAGTCTCTACTCATATGGTACTCAAAAAGCTTATCTTTCCGAATGAAGTGTGTTATAAAATTTGATACGGGGTTTATTTTACATCAAGAAGTATATAGGACAGCATGTGTAACTGAGAACTGCGAACGCCCTCACTCGGTAAATTTTGCTGACTCGCTTGCCTCGGAACTACCTGTTGTACACTACACAGACTGTACCTTGTAGGCTAACAGCTGGGCGGCACACTCCTCTCTTCCTAACATGCAAATGTAAACAGTTTAAATAAACATGTTGTGCAGGTTGAAGCTGCAACTCAATTAAAATGCAACCTTGAAACCCTTCCCCCTTCCCCCACTTCTCTTCAAAGAGTTATTTAAATTTATCATCAACAACCTGGATTTAAGTTATTTGGAAACTGAAAAAGATTATTGGATTTTAACCAACATTTTCAAAATTTAGAAAACAGTTTAAATTTTTAACATTGATTAACAATAACTTAAACACAGGTATTTTTCACTACCGGTAGGTCCTTAATTTGTAAATTAAATTAGACTCTAATTAAAAAAAAAAGTTAATGAGATACTAAAATAGGATTTCATCATGAAAGTTTGTGTTTGTTTTAATGATACCCTATGAATATAAACTATTTTTTTGTTTATGCTTACTTGAAACGAATGAAAGACACACCATATTATGGATATCAGCCATTCAACAACCTGTCTATATAGGTATATTGATCTGTTATTCAGATATGTTGATAGATTGAACACAGCGGATAGTATCACTCAAGGCAGTAAGCAGTAAAAGTCAGTTAGCCGGTGTTGTTGTGTGCGTCCCACTTTCGCTTGCAACAGCCGCTAGTTAAATTATGTAATAATCTCAACTCAACGCATGCTTTAGAGTGTGTTTTGGCTCGGACGTATGTCATTAGGTTCTCTCACAACGTAAATAAACGGTTCTCAACATTCAATATATTGTTTATTTTACATTTTAAATTACATTAGCACTACTGTTACAATTAATGATAAACATACATACTAGGCCTATTGCCCAGGAAGTTAAATGCTTTCACGGTTACTACATACTGTAGCATCGTGGTTCTCAAGTATGCTTGCTACGACAACTGCGATTTTTGGCGATTTTAAGTGTCGTTTTAAAGCTGATATAGTGAAGAGAAGAAATGACTGACGAGGCTAAATTAAAAAAAAAGGAAATTTTATCTATGACTTCGCCCATCTAGCGTTTAATTTATTTCTAGAGTTCACTAAACTTTCAAAGAGTCTGTGATGCTGACCAACTTTCTTTATAATGGTTTTAATCGTGAATTGTAATTTAATAACGTCTGCTATCTCAGTTCAAACTTTTAATCACAATCAGATGGCACACAGAGATGAAACAGTTCATGAAAATGGATTATAAATATCCTACCCTTTTAGTGATAATTAATTGTAACCTTGTAGGCTTGTTACCTGATTAAGTTGGATAAATCACTAGTTATGGTACTGATTTAAAATCAACAAATTTAATTTATTGTAAATTAGTGGGTTTATTCACATAATAAACATAAATCATCTTTGAAAGGTACACTGTTGATTTTTGCCTCTAAAACAAGTTTTGAACTCAACCAAAATGTGCAATTCACGCACGGGTCGTCAAACAAGAGATGAAACATTGTTTAGAAATGTTAGACCATAAAAGATCGTCCCCCAGGTTCTTGCCAAGACGAGGGTTATTGTAAGTTTAGTTTTCACTGTACTACTGCATTATTTAGTTACGATTGTTTATGATTTATGTGTCACAGATATTGTAACGTAGATGATGTTGTTTCAGGAACCAGCAGTTGAACAGTAGCAGCACCTTAGGCCGTTTCAGCAAGTCGACGAGTCGGCTGATATCCAACAACCACGTGACCAACAACCATGTGATAGACTACTCCGACCGTGGTGGAGTTCAGACTCTGCCTAGGAAGCTGCATGAGGAGAAGACCAAGAAACAGGTAAGATAACATTGGTCAATGGAGAAGTCAGAGGAGAGAATATTAACTAGCAAATAAGTTCATTTTGTGACCCCTGACAACATCAAGAAGTTATCTAAAACTATAATATTAATTTGCATATCCATGCTATCATATAAAAATCTGAAGGGGTCTGTCTGTGTTTGACTCTATCACATAAAAACTACTGAACCGACTGGGCGTAAATTTTACAACATTATAGATACCATACTGAGGAATATCATAGATAGCGTCGATACTAACCAGGGACTCGACTCCGTTGAGTGTTGACTTTCAAAGTCCTGGGGTGAGGTTTTTTTAATTAAATATTTATTGGTCTACATAACATCAATAAAAAATTACAATGTTGACATTATTTGCTTTGACATTACAATGTAAATAAAAGAAGAGTTGTCAAATTAATTTTGTTCCAAGCTGACAATAACCTTTAAACATTAACATTTTGTATAATCGTGTGGTAGGTTTAGTTCAGGGGACCCTAAACTCTAATTCAATTATTTTGACGAAAACAATATTTTCTCCTTTTCTCTATACTGTACTGTGTAGGGGGAGAAAGTAAAAACTACTTGTTTGCTAAACCAAATTATGTTGCACTAAAGCAAACTTAGAAGCTTATTGTGGGCTGCTAGACTGTTATACAATGAATATTAAATGTCTTTAAAACTGACACCCAAAATTAAAATGATGTCTTTAACAACCCCTTCCTCTCAAAACTATATTCCTTCAACAGAAGAATAATGAAAATCTGACTCGTTGACTCAGGATCTTTTTTCTTTTGAAAAAAAACCATCAACTTTCCAATATATATATATATATAAGGTATGAGGTTTTTCCCACAAAGGGCAAAAAAGGTCATTGGTAATAGAAATTCACAAAGCCGAAAACTTGAAACCTATTTTTAGATTCATGGCATATATTATTTGTATGTATGCATCATGACTTTTCCTCATATCTTAGACATCCTATGTCCTCTTGTCCCCAGAATGTGAGACAGAAGTCCTTTAGTCTGTATTTGATTAAAGAGGCAATATGGTTTGGTTTGTAGATAACTCTAACTAGTTCTTTTACAAATCACTGTTTAATCTATCTGTTTACATTTCAGGTCTACGTTACGAAGAGTAATGCAGAAAGGATTTCTTCATCTCCCCACTCCTGGGAGAGTCAGCGCTACAAAGTGAATGGCAACCCAAACTCCAACAGTATGATCAACGTGTCCATCGTAAATAAGACCAGTCCAACAGGGATGGGTCCTGCCAAGCCTGCTAGAACTTACAGGTCATCTCTCCTTCGCAGCAAAAGCTTCAACGTCCATGGTGCAGATATGAGTCCGGATTTTAATTCCATTCATAAGTCTAACCCTCAACTGCACCGGTTGGACGAATCACCTCCACCTCTGAAAAGTCCAGGGATAGTAACTAGCATCAGCCGAAGTACAAAAGACATCACTCAAGCGATAAACGAAGAAGACTACAGACGTCCCTTTGGATACTCCGACCACATTAACAAATCGACTGGACATCTTAATGGGTACACCAATAGCAGAACTGTACACGATACAAAGAAAAAAATATTTATGAAAAATCTTCAGGACAGAGCACCAGAACTCTATAGAACTCTGCACGGTAATGAAGCTAACGACAGCCGAAAACTCTCTCCAGACATTGACGATAGATCAGGAAGGTTATTTACGAGTACTCCACTGAAAAACGGAAGCAGGGTCCTGGAGTACAGCAATTCGTTCAGGTCGAGTAACACAAGTTCTCCGCTAGTGAACGGTTCAGATCGAGTTAATTCCCCGATTTCTCCTACTTACACGACAAGTATAACTCACACACCCTCGTTTAGAACAAATGGAGGAGAAATGGTAAACCGCAGCATAGTCAGAAGAGGAAGCAATGATGACTACTCTGAAACTGTTAGGATAACGTCAAAGTCAGACGATCCTCTAAGACCGAGTGTGACCAACACTGTTCAAAGCTTCTCAAAAAAGACTGTACCAGTGAAGGGTGGCCGAGGTAAAGAAACTATTGAGTCGAGTGAAACGAAAACGATTACGAAAAGTCATTACAGAGGCAGAGACGACAACAACAAATACGCTCCCAGGAACGGTGGTGGCGGCGTTGTCATAGAGGTGCGAAATAATCCAAAGTAGTACAGAGTTTTACAACCTTGTACAGACATTTAACTGATTAATAGGTAGTTTGTAACTTTTTCATAACACTCTTGTTAATAATCTTAATTATTTAAAAATTAAATGTTTTACAATTTAACAAAGGATTGTACACAGGAAAACGAAGTTAAAGTTTGAAAAATGAAACATTTGTAATATTTTAAGATTAAGTAATACGTTTTTTTAAGAAATTGTATTTGGTTTCCTGAAAAAATATTTAGCTGATGAAATATTTCAATATTTTATTCTAAATAATCATGGTGCTATTGAAGAACAATACTTTCTCTGTGATGCTAAGGCAATCTTTGTTATATTTGTTAATATTCTATAATCTATATTGTTTAGTTTCATTTGTGCCATTTATAGTTTTGTGTCATACAAGTTAGATATAATCCTTTTCTACATGATTTTGAACTACCTGAGCTAATCGTCTTTTTACAAACTGTAGATGTACAGATTCAAGTTTTCTTAGCCGTGCAGCTTAATTGCGTTTTGTATAGTTGTGTAAATATAGGAAATAGATAACTGATTAATCTATTAAACAGGCAAACATTTTAAATGAACAGTCAATATAATATTGTCGTTAAAGAGCTTTAATTGTTTATGTCTAAGATTAACTTTGTTGTAATCTTTGTAAACAGTCATTTTATGTAATTTTTTAACAAAAAGAAATAAATATTTCTTCCATGACTTTCTTCTGTGTACTAATAGTTTAATCCTTTTCTCGATGTTTCCTTACTGACAACTTATAGTATGATATACCTACTGAAGTACGTTTATTATTTTACTTTAGTAGAGGAATGAAGTAAGATATTACCCGATCTTGCAGTTTATTTTTACACCCACGCAGTTAGTTACAAAGATGAATCAAATGGTCATTTAGATTAGGTATACAAGTGTACAAAGTGTGCAAAGTGTACAATAATGTATTTCGTACCTAGAGCCAAAATTGAGGTTTTGCCGTCTCGAGATAATTTTTTAAGTGGGAAACGAAGTTGAACCTTTGTCAAGAGCCTAGACTCATGGTGTGAACGCTATTTTTCACTACACTAAAGAAAATTGAGAAAATATATACAGTACAATACACACACTATCAGTCAACACAACTTAAAGGTTATGTGAAGAATTATTTCAAATAATCAGTAAAAATAATAATAAATAGTTGCTAAGCAGCAGTGACAATAAAACAAGTCTATTGCTATGCATTTTGGATACAGCTTGTATATTAAGTAAATAAGCAAACAGCTGATTTTCTGCCCTAGGGCCGCAAAAACCTGCTCGGTTCCCAAATTACGATGACAGCTGGCATTGTCAGCAATAAGTAGCTTTCAGCCTCCAATTAACGGTTCCCAAATTACGATGACAGCTGGCATTGTCAGCAATAAGTAGCTTTCAGCCTCCAATTAACGTTTGTAAAGCGGCTAAATCGTAGTGTGGTGATAACGATTTGTCTTCTACAGGGTGAGTTTTAGTTGTCCCCCCCCCCAACTTTTTTCTACATTTTTTCAAATATCAATCCCAGACGACTTCCAAACATTGTTGGGTAGTGAGTACTTCATTTTAACAAGGTGGTCATTTCCGGCCGCCATCTTGGATCCGCCATATTGGATGCAAAATATTTTTTTCAAATGTAAAGGTGGGGTCGTGACCCATTATTTTGAACTAGATTTTTACCCTGATTACAATGCCGCAAAACGTTTTTAAAAATCTTGATTCATTCTAAAGTTATGAGGCCTTTTTAAAACTTTATTTTTAGCCCATTTTAACATTGTGCATTTACAAACTAAGACCATAATCTCAAAATAGTGCTAGATAAAGATAAGTATACACTACCAGTTATTGTAAACCTATTTTCACTTATTTATGACTGATGTATTTTTTTCGGCCGCCATCTTGGATCCGCCATTTTGAAATGGGATAAATTATTTTAAATATGAAGGGTGTGTTGTGACCCATCATTTTGAACTACTTTTTTAAGCTTAACTCAATGCCGCAATCCATTTTTTGTTATCAAGTTTTATTTATGAAACATTGCAATATTTTTGTTAAAAATGTTAATATTTTAAAATCAAAATAATGAAAATAAAAAATGGACCATGGAATTGAGTTCAGCTTAAAAAAGTATTCCGAAATGATGGGTCACAACACCCCTTTTATATTTAAAATAATTTATCACATTTCAAAATGGCGGATCCAAGATGGTGGCCAAAAAAAATACATCATTCATAACCAAGTGGAAATAGGTTGGCAATGACTGGTAGTGTATACTTATCTTTATCTAGCACTATTTTGAGATTATGGTCTTAGTTTGTACAAGCGCAATGTTAAAATGGGCTAAAAATTTAGTTTTAAAAAGGCCTCATAACTTTAGAATGAATCAAGATTTTTAAAAACGGTTTGTGGCATTGTAATCAGGGTAAAAATCTAGTTCGAAATATTCGAAAGGTCACAACCCCACCTTTACATTTGAAAAAAAAATATTTTGCATCCAATATGGTGGATCCAAGATGGCGGCCGGAAATGACCACCTTGTCAAAATGAAGTACTTCCTACCCAACAATGTTTGGAAGTGGTCTGGGATTGATATTTGAATAAATGTAGAAAAAAGTTGGGGGGGGACAATTAAAACTCACCCTGTATATAAAAAGTATGTTGGTTGGTTTGTATATTTGTTTGGCAGTGATAAACTCAGACACCGCTGGACCGATGGCCATGGAACTTGGTACATGCATGTAGAATTTTATGGAGTATGTTTATACACCATCAATTTCATGATAACTTTCAGGGCTTAGCCCTGGGACCATCTTAAATGTACTGTACTTATGTTAGAGATTTTGAACGAATTTTAGTTAGATTTGTTTACTAAAATAACAAAACATATGAAAGTAAAATAATATTGAAGATGCATCAGCTGTTACATTTGTTTATAGTTAATGTTTATTTATAGTTTATTTACTTTTCCATTGAGTTAATTTTTTGATTCTGCTACACAGTTTAATGCAAATACACAACATATTTACATTGAATTAAACGGTATCAGCAAACTGACACGTATACTTTTCCCCCATTATAAAAAATTGCTTGTCAACAACCTTTATCATGGTTAAACAGTGGGAGTAAATATGATATTTTATAGGGAAAATCACAAAAGTTGCAATACATTCTGAACCATATTTGTTACAGCAATGGGGGGTTACACTATTTTGTTTAGAAATATTATAAGGACCAGTGTTTCTAAAGCAATATATTTAACCCTAGATCTGAGAGCTGAGTATTATTTTCTTAGTGTATTGATTGGGTTACTATGGAAATAGGTTTGATTGTAAAAGAAAGAACCTACTAAAAGAAAGAAAGTTGACACAAACTTAACCTCTTTATTTATTATACTTTTATTAACTCAAAACTTACTTTAAAGCAGGTAAACCAATATAATTATCTAACACATTAATTTAAAACCTACTTTTTTCCTAAACCCCGATTTTATTTTATTTTATGGGTTTTTTTTATTGGAAAACAGCATAAATTACGATAACTTTTGAACCATAATTTTTGCCTAAGATTTAGACCGTTTTTTTCAGAACTTGACTATAACATCAAATGTTAATCAAAACCGGCTTTTTGTTCTAAAACACGCTTTTTTAGATGTTTGGTTTTTTTTTAAATAGCGGGTTACAATAACTTTTGAACCATAATTTTTACAGAAATTAGATTTACATAATTTTGTTCTGAATTTTGATGACTGGTACTCATTTTGTTTTTCAAAATTGTTTAAGCCATTTTTGAGAAAATACGATTTTTTCCTTATTTTATAGGTTTTTATAAAAAAAATCAAAATTTAAAAATAATAAAAAAAAACCTGGATAAGCAATGGATTAGTGCCTACATACCACGTTTAATCAAAACCGGACAACAAATGTGGTCTGTAGCTCTATACACATCCATACATACGGAGACACACACACTGAGAGACATCACTTCCAAAACCACTTTTTTGGGTCCAGGGGGATCCACTCAAAACTCAAACTCAAAAATGTTTGCGAAAACAACAATTTCTCTAGATCCTATATTATAGACGGAGAAAGTAAAAATCAATAAGTACGATTGAGATTTAACTGTATAATTAGGATGGTGGGTGTGTGTAACTGTTTTTTACGAAGCAAGGGCAGAACAACTAGTAAGTTACTAGTTGAGTAACTTACTAGTTGCTAAAATGAGGTACAAAAACCTTACTGCACACAAATCGTACTTATAAGACTGTGTAGAAAACATTCACGTTGAGAATGTATATAACTTTTGTTTCATTAGTAACTAAGTGTTTTGAATTTACAACAGGAGAATAATTTTATCAATAAATAAATTACAGTAACACAAGCACCATGACAAATTGGATTGAAAATAGACAAATTCTTTTATTACAAAAAGATACAATGCAAAAATGACACAAATTGGGATTCATTATTCCTGAATACAACACAATTCTTAGTGGCCGGTTGTTCTTTCACACATGCTTCTGACCTTTAGTTGCTCTTATATTTTGTCGATTTTTTTTCGGGTACATTTCAATATGATTTCCACATCCTCGCTTCACCAACTAGTAATGCCTACTCTTATTGTCGCACAATTGTGTGCGTTGTTCCCAGTCAAAGGAATTACAGCCGAAACCTCTTATAAAATTAGGTAATGTATAACATATGTTGTAGGCCTATGTAAGAAAAAACTATAATATGTACTAGGCTAAAATTATATTGAACTTACATACATTTTAATCTAAATTAGATAATTAAAAATAACTACCTACCAATAGCTTAGTAGACTTAGTTGTTAATGACGATAATAGGTTTTATGTACCTCCGTCAAATAGTCCAACGATTTAGACTGCTCAGTAGCTTACATGTTTCGTAGCGAAGGCAACATTCTCAAAGCTCGTAACTCGTCAAAAACACAATTAAAACAATCACGACACAAATACAAAATCATAAAAAAGGTATGTAAAAACAAACCTTTATAGATAGCGCTTTAAATGAAGGTCACTGGTTTGATTCCAAGAGACCCAGATGCCATTTTTCATTGGACTATCAATTAATTATGCTTACTAACAACAGGTCGTCAGTGGTAAAATATGGGAAATATGAATTAAGTTAAAGATATTTTCACTAAAGACCAGGATTTAGACCCTTCCCTCACAAAAAATGCTAATAAATGCAATAGGTACAAAAAACTGTTTACTCTCTCTCATTAAAAAAATTATGTTTTCTACATATATACCATCCAACAAATATTTAAAATACTCTTAAAATCTAAACTTTCCAACATCATTGTTAATTTTATGACCACAAAACTGATGACTAGTGAGCCAAAAGGTCATTATAATCCAACAAGGAAACGTAATACTGTTCAGTAATCATTAGCAGGCAAGCTGATCATTGTGTGTGAGAGAGATAGAGTATTGCAAAATCCCCACATGGCCGCAACAATACAACAATACAAAAATTAAAATGGAAACATTGCTGGTTCCAAGTGTATTACTTCCTCGTAATATCGTTTCTTTGAGTAGAATCGTTCATTTCTCTCTCTTTTAATTTTGACTTGTTTAATTTACCCTATCTTTTTGTTGTGTATTTAATAAACACTTTTAATTTGACCGTAAAATCTGTGTACTGTACTAAAATGTGAAAACATTTGGACATTCGTTAA